TGAACGAATCCACGCACTTCGAGCTCACTTTACAGAAATATGCGGGTCTGCGCTTTAATGACACGCGCGCATCTCAACTTGAATCGATCCCACGGATATTAAGCAACATGGTCAGTGAGGGCTCTCAAGAAGAACGGCTCCAGAAAGCTATGGAGCAGGCTTCCTACACGCTCGGTAAGAACCCAAGGACTGGTTACCTGTGCCCGCCAGTCAAAGTGTCGAAAACGAGCGTCAAGAACACGGTGGCTGCCCGTCTGGGCGTGTACGCAGGGGGCATAGTGCGGGGCTTGGAACGTCATTCAGTATCGTCCTTTTACGACGTCGTATTGAATTTTGATCCACTGACTTCCGTCGCAGCCGCGGGACTCAGGCGTTCCTTCATATGCCAAGTTTGTGATGGTTTACCATCTGGTTTCGCATGGGTTCCTTGATGTCCATGCGTTGCCAGGCGAGGTGGCCCCAGCGTGGCTCGGACGCGCGCGCGGGGAGTTTCTGCCGCGATGCGACTAGAAAGCTTGCAAGGTGTTGTGCGTGCGAGGTGGGCCCAGCGGGGCTCGGACGCGCGTGCGGGGAGTTTCTGCCGCGATGCGACTAAAAAGCTTGCAAGGTGTTGTGCGTATTTAGATATTCCCACGGTGCTTCTAGTACAGTATATATCATATCTAGCATATAGTATCTGTATATATGTATATATATATGAATATATATATATATATATATATATTCATATATTCATATATAATTATACATAAACACTGAACGATAAATAACACTATATAAAAAAAAACAATTTATATGTGTGAATAAATGAACGCAGACGCGCGTGCGTCGGAGGATGCATATGTGGATAAGGAGAATTTGTTTGCTTAACGAAGAGGAGGATGAGGAGGGGGAGGAGGTGGAGAGCGAATGCCGATGAGTCGAGGATGCCGAGGAGGTTTTGTTTGCTTTTAGCCGAGGGCGCGGCTCGGAACACTGGAACTGCATGCCCGTGCGCCCCAGGCGGGGCTCGCGTAGTCAATCTACTTGCTTCGCGGATCATCGTTCCATGCGTACCAGATCAAAATGATATTGGATCGGTTCCACGCCTCGTACTTCTCACGTGTCCCACGACCGCGCGTCACGCCGTCCTGCGCTGGGCCAGGGATGGTGCCGCTGGCGCTTGCGGCGCTGGCGAAGCATCAGCCCGCGGGCCTTGCAGCGGCGGGGGCGGCCGACGTGGAGCAGGCCCAAGACGCCGACGACGAGGCCACCGACGACGAGGCGCCTCGTGAGAGCGCAGCCAAACGGCCTCGTAAGGGCTCCAAGTTCGACCAGGAGCTGAACGCCATGGCCGTCAAAGCTTCCGTGCCTGCTGCTCAGCACGCGCAGGCTGTGGTCGCTTGTGAAGTCATGTTTCGGGTGCTCGCCATTAGCAGTTTCGTTATTCAGGTGGCCGATGCCCTTCCGAGGCGCCGCGGGCCACCACGGGTCAGCAACAGGACGGCCGCAGGGCCACCGCGGGACACCGGCGGGGCAACCCGGGACAACCACGCGGCAACGATTGGAAATTGCAGGGCGGGACCTCCACGGGGAGGCGCGGCGGAAAGTGGCGAGCCATTTGTGCAAGGTCGACCTCGCCAGTCTCCTGAGCTACGATCTCGTGGAATACGGCATATGCGAACACCGTCGGCTGCTCACTAAGAGGCGCAAGCGCCGGGGAAAGAAGACCCTTCCAGACTCACACTTCTACCGCACCCACGTCGACGGAATCCGCAAGGCGCGGGCCCAGATGGTCAAGGCACTTAAGCAGAAATACAAGTACAGGTGATCGTCGCGCGCAGCTGCTCTGTCCGGTTTCACCCAGAAAAAAGCATTGGGGCGAGGAGGGGCGGAGGAGGGGGGGCGCGGGGAAAAATACAGATCACAGTAAACATATACTCCGACTACATACATACACATATTCACACCTATATTTATTATTATTATATATATATATATATATGTATATATATGTATATATATATATATACATATTCATATCTATAGTGTTGTATATACGTATAGGTGTGTATACGTATATATAAGTATGTTGGGTTTGTACAGATTCCTACATGTAAGAATACGCATATATTACCATCGACAGTATCGTATGCCTGCGTGTTATTTGGCAAGGCATGCGTTCAGGTGGTCCTACTTGGCCCAATAAGGAATTGTATTGGCGTGCCGAAGATTTGCCACGTTGCCGCCAGCTTCGCCTCGTTGCCGCGTGCTTACCGATATCAACCAATCAATGATTGCACTTCTGTATTATTACTTGGCTTTCTCTGGAACTGGGTGGGCGTGCCGGGGATTCACCGCGTTGCCGCCCGCGCCGCCCCGCTGCCGCGTCGCACCAGCCTCGCGCGCTGGGCGGGCGGGCCGACTTCGATGAGGACGAGGGGGAGGATGGTGGAGGTGGAGGAGGAGGAGGAGGGGGATGGGGTAGAGGAGGATGGGCAGGAGGAGGAGGACGAGGAGGAGGAGGAGGAGGAGGAGGAAAAGGAGGAGGAGGAGGAGGAGGACGTGGAGGAGGCAGGGGAAGAGGAATATAATAATGAATATGAGTAAACGGAGAGATGTGATTGCTCGGGAGCTGCAGAAGGCTCCTGCGTTTTTTGTTGTGCTTCTTGGGCCGTATGATGGGTGTCTTGGGGGGCATGGGGTGTCTTGGGAGCCTTTCTGTGGAGGGCGTTCCTGACCGTTTGAGGGGTTCCTAGGGCTTCCTGGGACCTCCTGGAGCCTCCTGGGGCATACTGAGGCCTTCTGGGGCCCCCTGGAGCCTCCAGGGACCTCCTTCTCGGGCCTCCTGGGGCCTCCTGGGGCCTCCTGGAGCCTCCTGGGGCGTCCTGGGGCGTCCTGGTGCTTCCTGGAGCCTCCTGGGACCTCCTGGGAATTCACGGGGCCTCCTGGAGCCTCCTGGGACCTCCTGGGAATTCACGGGGCATCCTGGAGCCTCCTGTGGCCTCCTGGGGCCTCCTGGGGCCTCCTGGGGGGCCGTCCGAGCGGAGGGTGGGGGTGGGGGCGGGGGGGGCGGCTGGGAAGTGATGCTGGTCGTCGCGACCCCCCCCCCCACCGACTTGCAATATTTTCCCACATTTTCCGGGGGGATCGACGATGAATTGTGTCTGTGTGTGCTTTTTTCCCTCCTTCCAGTGGAGCGTCGGTGGCCTGATCCTCCCTGCCGCAAAGGCGGGGGCAGCAGGGGCGACGAGAAGGAGGCAGCACCGTCCCCGAAGCCTCTCCTGGGCGCCACGGCGAAGCAGCAGAGCTGCACGCAGCGCGTGTCGAATTCATTACGGATCTCATTGGTTCCCGGGTTCCGGGTTCCCGGGTTCCTGATCATTGGTTCCAGGCCGATGGTTAACTATCGATCTCACTACCGATCTCACTGTCGAATGAGGAAGAGGGGAAACTGGGGGGACCATGTGCAGGCACCCCCCGCCGGGCAGGAGCGCGGCCTTGGCGCGGGACTGGGGCCAGGGTGGCAAGCGCCGGGGTGTCTCAGCACACCCCGCTCTCCTCGCGAAGGCCTCTTGCAGACGGCCCCCGTGCGCCTGCATCCGCAGCGCGAGCAATCAACCAGGAGCTGCTCCGCGTCAAAATCATGCTCTCGCAGAAGCGTGTACACGTCGTTCATCTCTAATCGTGCTTATTTCCAAGTGTGCTCGTTTCTAATCGTTCCTGGCCCCCTAGTGGCCAGGAAGAGGCCCAGGACAGAACAATTAGAAATGACAGGATCTTGGCCCCCCAAAAATCAAAGAACTTTCGAAGAATCAGACATGAGCAATGTGTACTCATATCCACCCAGTTCAAGAGGATGGATAATGGGGAGAAAGAGGAAGAGCAGAGTGAACCCAAGAAGTGTCGCCCCGAAGGACGAGCGCCCCAGGGGCCCGAAGTTCAAGCGGGAGCTCCGTTTTGAGAGGAACTGCCGCCCACCTTTCGGGATATAAGGACTGCAACGAGGTGTGGTAACAATGTGCACCTCGTTCCTTTCTAATCGTGCTCATTTCGAATTGTGCTAGTTTCTAATTGTTCCTGGCCCCCTAGTGGCCAGGAAGAGGCCCAGGACAGAACAGTTAGAAATGACAGGATCTCGGCCTCCAGAAAAATCAGAAGAACTTCGAAGAATTAGAAATGAGCCATGTGTATTCATATCCACCCAGAGAAGGGAGATGGATAGTGGGGGGGAGGAAGAGCAGAGTGAGCCCAAGAAGTGTCGTCCCGAAGGACGAACGCCCCAGGGGCCCGAAGTTCAAGCGGGATTCCTGCCGTCGAGGGACGTGCCCGACTCAACGCTGGATGAACGAAGCCCCTCCCTCGGCCCCAAGGGCGACTGCGTGGGCGAGGAGCGCCAGAAAACCAGCCCTGGAGGGACTCCCCCTCGGAGGAGCATCGGGCCCCTTCCGAGCCCAAGCTGTTCCTTGTTTCGGCGTCCTGGGAGCAGGAGGAGGAGGAGGAGGAGGAGGAGGAGGAGGAGGAGGAGGAGGAGGAGGAGGAGGAGGAGAGCATCGGGGCCCTCGCCGGGCTCCAATTTGGAGTCCCGAAACGGTGCGGTGACAGACCGTGCGGTGACCTCGAACTCCCCCAAGACCTCACCGCACGGTCCGTCACCGCACGGTCTTGGGACCCCGGATCTGAATGCTACGCAGGAGTAAGCTTGAGCAGCAGCTGCCTCCTGCCCGTCTGCCCTGTCCGTTTCGCCGCCACCCTCGGCTCAAGGCGAGGGAGGGCGGGACTCTTTCTGACAGAGCCTGGCCGTGCCAGGCAGACCGCGCACACTACAGCGCGGCCGTTCATATTGTGGACAAAAGGTGTTCACGGACAATTATCACGATAATTGACATCGACACATACTTTCTCTTGCTCCTCCTCGTCGTCACCAGCGTGAACGATCTAGAGGACGAGCTCTAGTAATCAGATTGGTAGCGGAGCCTGTGGTCTCCGACAACCACGGGCTCCCACCGGTCTCGGCCTGAATGGCGACTACAGCCGCCAGCGGGCCACCGACGACGCGCGTCGACGTCCCCTCATGGAACGGCGAGGCAGACAAGTCGATGAGCTACAAGTTTGAGGTCTCCATGTTCACCAAGAGCATCAAGACTGCGGAGCGCTACGTGTGTGGCCCGCAGCTGGTGCGCGCCCTTGGGGCGCGAGTCCGGACGACGGTGGAGAGCTGCCCGGACATCGACACGGTCGACGAGATCGACAAGGATGGAGTTTTGATTGGTTGGAACAAAGTGTTTCAGTACGTCTTGGAGAAGCTGGACTTCACCAGCCTGAATGACACGGGCCTCCTCGCGGAGGAGTTCTTCCTGAAGGTCAGCAGGAACTCGGGCGAGACCTTCCAGGACTGGGCCGCCAGATTCGAGAAGAAGGAGCGCGAGCTGTTGATGCAGCTCCAAGTCATCGATTCCAGCGTGACGGAAGTGATTGCGAAGCCTCTTCGGACATGGTGGTTCCTCCGGAAGTCCAAGCTATCCCCTGTTCAACGTGGAGAGATCACCGCCACTGCAGGTGGCGACCTCAACTTTGGTAAGACATACAAGGCCTTGCTCACGCGCTTCCCGGCGGAGGCGCTGGCGGAGCTCGACGGCAAGCAGCACCGGAGGGCCTTCTATGAGGACACGCCCGTCGACGACGTTGAGGACGAGACTGGTGGGGAAGATATTGATTTCACAGAGGTTGTCGAGCAGCTGATCACCCTCGCTGAAGAAGACGAATATGAGGAGCCAGCTGACGACAACCCAGCGGACAACGAGGTGTTCGCAGAGTTCAAGCAGGTGGGCAGGAGCTTCAAGGACGCTCGCGACCTGATCCGACGCCTTCGCGTGTCCCGCGACTACTACCCGGTCGTGTCGCTCAAGGACCCCGATCGCGTGCCCCCGCCTCCGAACACGGGACGAGGCTTCCAGCGTGGCCGTGGCAAGAACGGTCGAGGCCGCGCCCGCTTCGACACGGGCAAGGGACGTGACATGTCCAAGATGAAGTGCATGGCGTGCGGCGAATATGGTCATCGAGCGGCGGACTGCAACGAGAGGTTCAAGAAAGATAATACGAGAGATGGAGCTCGTGGGACTACTCACAACGGCTTCGTCCTGTCCGCCCTCGACGAGTACCTCTACCTCCTGGAGCGCGACGGCATCTGGGCGATCCTCGACATCGGGGCCACGAAGAGCCTCGGCGGCCTCGAGAGCGTCGAGAACCTCATGTACGAGATGCTGGACCAGCACGGCCAGGAGTTCGAGACGACACATGACGAGTGCTCCTTCACCTTCGGCGACGGCCTCCAGAAGAGCTCGATGGGCACGGTGAAGGGGAACGTGTTCCTCGGCGGCGACCTGACCGAGGTCAAGCTGTCGGTGATGCCGAACCGCGTGCCGATCCTCCTGGGCATGGACATTCTGACTGACTCGCTGAAGGTTGTGGTCGACTGCGGCCGGAACTGGATCGGCCTTCCGACCATGGGCAACAAGGCGTTCTACTGCGAGCGCCTCTCGAGCAACCATCTGGCCGTCAACCTGACGACGCCGCAGTGGTGGAAGGAGGTGCCGCTTTCCTTGCCGAGTGCCGGGTGCCTGACGTCCGAAGCGACGGCGCCCGATGTTCTGGTGGAGGAGCTGCCCGAAGAGGCCGCTCCGTGCAGCTGCTGCCCTGCGGTACGCTAGGGACAGCGCCCCCTGATGATGGCAGCAGAAGGGAATTTATCTCGATTGTCAACCTCATCATCGGGGGGGCCACACCGACTCGGTCACCGCGAGTTCGAAACACCTACCAGAGCGACGGAAACCTCGGCGGCGCGGACACCTACCAGAGCGACGGAAACTGCGACACGGAGCGGATCGGCTCGAGCGACGGAAACCTCGATTTCGTTCGGACGGACGGTCAGGTCATCCGACCGGCTCTCTTCATCATCACCGTCGATCGGGACATCATCACAGTCAAGAGGACCGTTAGCAAGCAAGCCTCAGGATCAAATTATGGAAAAGCAAAGCGATGAGCCAGCACAATACCATCGGTGTTCATCATCATGCTGTTCGCAGCCACCTTCGGCTCAGTTCATCAACTCGGCAATAGCCTCAACCAGCAGTCTTTCACGACCTCCATATTCTTCCCAGGCCGCCACTGGCCGCTTGGATGACATGCAGCGACGGTTCTTTGGCTGGGCAATCCTCGGAGCAACAGCCGCCACCTGTGCCCGCGGCCCGCCCCGAGTGGAGCCGCCCTCGCACGAGGGGATCGACAACTTCGGCTGCAGCGACCCCGACGCCAACATCAACAGCAACACCAGCTACTCCGGAGCTACCAGCGAAGTGGTACAACCCAGTGGGGAAGTGCGGCTGCTGCGGAGCACTGGGGAAGACCAAGCGCGGGTGCAGCTGCTTCGGGGGCAAGAGCCACCAGTGCCTCAAGACCCCACAGCAGGGAGCACCCGGGACACCAGCAGCGGCATCAGCAGCGACAGCCAGCAGCGCCCCCTCGAGTCCAGCGGGGGCTCAGCCAGTGACGAGACCTCCGAAGTCCGCGTGCTCCTGCTGCGGGACCCTCGGGAAGACGATTCGGGGGCGCAGCTGCCGCGGAGGCAAGAGCCACACGTGCACGAAGGCGACGGAGGTGACCATTCGGGAGCAGGCAGTGGCTCTACGCTGGCGGCGCCTGTCCAACAAGCTGAACTCCCCGGAGATACAGGGGGGCTGGAAGTTCACTCCGGAGATGCTCGACGACTCGGAACTGCCGGAGATGGACTCGAAGAGGAAACGCTGAAGCAGCTCGACGACCAGGATCTCAAGATGTTCTACGAGAGCCACGACAAGGTCCTTGACGAGATCTACCAGACCATCGCCGAGGACCTGACGGAGCTCGGCAGGCCCTACCGCATCGACCTGATGGAGGCGTGCTGTCCGGAGGACTCGAGCCTCAGCAAGGCCGTGCAGGACCAGGGAGGCAAAGTGTTTAGGTGCGGCCTCTTCAATGGGATCGACATGGGAACGGCAACCGGGCTTCGACGCGCGCTTCACCTTCTCCGACGACTCCGACCGCGCCGCTTGGTTCTCAGCCCGCCATGTACAGCAGACTGCCCGATCCAGAATCTCAACCAGAAGACAGATCAGCAGAAGGCCACGTATCTGGCGAAGGTGCGCAAGGCCCGACGTATCCAGCGGAACTGCAAGAGCCTCTGGGAAGACTCGAAGAAGATTCACGACTGCCACACCGAGCTCGAACAGCCAGCTTCCAGCCGAAGCTGGACCAGGTCGCCCTCGATCAAGGCGATGCGCGATCAGATGCACGAGACGATCATCCATGGCTGTGCGCATGGACTTCGCGAAGCTCGTTCCGGCCTGCTGATGAGGAAGGCATGGCGCATATGCTCGACAGACCCGGAGTTCGGCGCTAAGCTCGGCAGGGCGTGCTCCAACCGCCCTGGCAGGGGCGACAACCACACACACCGCCCCATCGAGGACGGACAGGTGGTGGCCCAGACGGCCTTTTACCCACCAGCACTGTGTAAGGCTTGGGCGAAGCATATCCTGAAGACGAACACCAGCGCGAGGTACGGCAAGGAGATCTTCACCAGCTTGGAACAGATCCCAGAGGACGCTGAAGAGGAGATGGAGGAGGCCCTCGACGAGGACCTCTTGCAGGATAACCCCGAGGCCATGGACGACGAGTCGGTCATGAAGGGCCTGGGCATCTCCGAGACACCGACCAAGAAGGAGGAGCTGGAGATCGAGCAACGGCTGACGCGGCTCCACCGCAACCTCGGCCACCCGAGCAACAAGACACTGTACAAGATCCTCAAGGCATCGGGAGCACCTCTCCAGGTCCTACAAGCAGCTCTTCGCCACCAGTGTCACGCATGCCATGCGGGACAATTACCAAAAGCCGTCAGGGTCGCCTCGGGCATCGAGTTGCCAGGCGTCCTAGAGGTGCTGGCCTCCGACGGGCTCGAGTGGCTCTCGCCGAAGCAGGACTCTTTCCTGATGACGTTGAACATCGACGAGGGATCCGGGCTCACCAGTGTCACCTATCTTGGACAGAAGGGAGAGCGCAATGGCAACAGATCGACTCAGGAGGTGATTTCAACATGGAATGACTGGTGCGGACATTACCGCCGCCCCAGCCTTCTCCGTCTGGACCCCGAAGGATGTCATCGTTCACAAGCAGTGGCCAGGTGGTGTTCGGACCGCGGCATCGAGCTGTGGATTGCCCCGGGCGAGGCCCACTGGCTGATGGGCATGGTCGAGAGGCGCATCCAGCTTTTCAAGCGACTGATGACGAAGCTGGCAACGCTGGACCCCGACTGCCCGGTCGAGGAGTTGGTGTCCTGGGCCGTGAGCGCGATCAACAGCATGGACAAGGTCGGCAACCACTCCCCGTTCGAGCACGCGATGGGCGTCTCTGGGATGCCGGCCTCGAGCAACCCGTTCGCCATCATTGACGGGGACACCGGGGAGACTCAGGAGCAGAGGCGCCTCCTCGCGCGCAAAAGCTTCCTGGAAGTAGAGTATGCTGAGCGTCGTCGACGCGCCGAGCAGGCTCGCAACCGGGTCTATCAGACCTGGAATCCGGGGGACCTCGTCTACTTCTGGCGCAAAGGGAAAGGCCTGGACCCTCGCCCTGGGAAGAAGGGCGGGTGGTACGGCCCTGCTCGTGTCCTTGCTCAGGAAAAACGACACGTGGACGGGCGCACCCGTCCTACCTCGGTCATCTGGATCTCCCACGGGAGCGTGCTCATCAGGTGCGCCCCGGAGCAGCTGCGCGTCGCCTCGGAGGCAGAGAAGATGATCGTCGAATTGCAGCGGCAGAGCAACCTTGGCAAGACCATGACGGAGATCTTGGAGACAGCCAAGGGCGGTACCTACGAAGACCTTCTCGGACAAAATCCTCCAGACCTCCGAGAATACGAGCCTCCACCGCAGCCGACGATGGCGATCCCCGCGACCGAGGGCCAGACTCTCGAGAACAACAGCGAGGCGGGACTCCCATCAGGCGCCGACAACGACACACCCGGCGATCCTGATTCCTCCAGGCCACCAACACCAAGCTCAGCGACGCAACCTGAAGTGGAACCGAGTGAACCAGATGTCCGACGGTCCCGGTCACCACCGGCTCGTGCAGCTGATCGGTCAGCAGCCCCATCACGAACGCCAGGGAAAGCATCTACCTCAGCGGCAGTCAGGACGGAGTCTCGAACAGCATCGCGTCCGCCTCCCGCGACCTCGACCTCATGGGCGGCCGGTGCCGCATCCCGAGGCGAGTCGAGACCTAGATGGCGCATGACACACCGCGGACCAGAGCTCGATCTGCACGTACCGCCGGAGAAGCGACAGAGAGGCGCAGACGAGGAGATGGCCGACGCGCTGTTCGACAGCAACCACCTGGTCAACCTCTTCAAGGACAAGTTGGACATCACCCTAGGCATCGACGAACAGCAGACCGTCTACTTCGAGTACTTGCAGGACGAGAATACCACTCCAGACGGACGCCGAGGTTTGATGAGCCACATCCTGGACAGCTTCGTCGTCAACCAGCGCCGGAAGGACAAAGTGGAGCTGACCTGGTCCAAGATGAACGCCACCGAGCGTGAGGAGTTCGAGGCAGCCATCGCCAAGGAGACGAACAACTGGATTCAGCATCAGGGACTCCGCGCTGTCCCGATATCTCGGGTCAAGGACGCGGCGGACGTCATCCGGGCAAGGTGGCTCTTCACCCGCAAATCCGATGGGAAGGCGAAGGCCCGGCTCGTCCTCCTCGGCTACCAGACGAAGGACCTAGGACAGGAGCCGACAGCCAGCCCCACCGCGTCTCGGCGCGCCCGTCACGTGATGCTAACAGTGGCCGCCGCGAACCGCTGGAAGCTCATCAAGGGCGACGTCACCTCCGCCTTTCTGCAGGCCCACGACCTCGACAAGGACCTCTTCATCGAGCCAGACGCCGTCCTCAGAAAGGCCTTCCACGTGCAGGAAGGGGACATCCTCCAGGTCGTGAAACCTGGATATGGGATCGGCGAGGCGCCCCGGCACTGGTGGGAGACGGTCAAGCACGACTTTGCGAAACTTCGACTTCAAGCCTGCGAGTTGGAGCCCTGCCTCTGGAAAGCACGATGTTCCAGGACGGGCAGGCTCATTGGTATGATCATGGCCCACGTCGACGACTTCATCATGGCAGGAGATACCTCCCACCCTGAGTGGCAGGACATGGTCAAGCAGATCCGAGGGCTCTACAAGTGGGGCACCTGGGAGGACATGAATGACGGGCTCACCTCTCTCGAACAGTGCGGCGTCACCATCGAGGAGAGCGAGCAGGGCTTCTTCCTCCACCAGAAGTCGTATATCGACAAGATCAAGGAGGTCAAGGCGGCCAGCGGCAGTAAGCATCGGACCACCGACAGCCTCAAGGACTCTGACAAGACGGTGCTCAGGGCGTTCTGCGGCGAGATCTACTGGCTTGGCGTGAATACCATGCCATTTCTCTTATCGTGGGTAGCCGACCTCCAGATGAAGATACCAGCAGGTACTCACAACCTCTTCACGGCCGCTAACAACATCGTCAAGCTCGTCAAGCAGAGCCGCCACATGGGGATCAGGATCTACCGGCACGCCCTGGACGACCTCGCCATCTTCACCTGGTGCGACGCAGCCTGGGCCAGCCGCCCGGATGGACACTCCCAGGGTGGTCATATCACCGCTATCTCCTCCAAGGCGGCCATGGACGGGAAGCTCTCCGAGTTCACGGTCCTCGACTGGGGCTCCAAGAAGCTGCGCCGCGTGGCTCGGTCTAGCCTGGCGGCGGAGGTGCAGGAAGCCGGCGACGCCGAGGGCGAGCAGAGCATGGTGCGACTGGTACTTGCCGAACTTCTACACCATATGTCTCCACTGCAAGATACCGCAGCAGCACTACGACGATTACCAGCCATCCTGGTGACGGACTGCAAGGCCTTCTACGACGGCGTGGTGCGATCTCAGTCGGCGGGACTGGGACTGGAAGAGCGGAGGACAGCCATTGAGGCTTTGGCTCTCCGCAATGCCTTGGACGAGGGTCAAACGGTCGCGCGCTGGGTTCATTCACACGCACAGATCGCCGACGGTCTAACCAAGGCAAGCTGGCAGGCATTCGGAGTGGTTCGGGCCTTCCTCGAGAAGCAGCAGTGGCGCCTCATATACGACGAGCAGTTCATGAGCGCTCGCAAGCGGGCAGCTCTTGGCAAGGGCATCTTCGACGAAACGGACCCGACCGACCCGGCCTCAGCTCGTCAGGTACTCGAGGAGCGTAGGTTGGCCCGCCAGGCACAACCACCAGCCAGCATGGAAGGGAACCCTTCCGGCTCGACGACCTCTACTGGGTTCTCGGCCTCCGAATCCCTGATCATGATCCAGAAGTTGCAGCAGGAGATCGGGACCCATCAGAAGTTCGTCCAGCAGCACACTAGGAGCGCAGAGATTGCCTGCGCGCACGGTACAGGGCAGAACCTTTTTCCCCCTGTCTGAATGCTACGCAGGAGTAAGCTTGAGCAGCAGCTGCCTCCTGCCCGTCTGCCCTGTCCGTTTCGCCGCCACCCTCGGCTCAAGGCGAGGGAGGGCGGGACTCTTTCTGACAGAGCCTGGCCGTGCCAGGCAGACCGCGCACACTACAGCGCGGCCGTTCATATTGTGGACAAAAGGTGTTCACGGACAATTATCACGATAATTGACATCGACACATACTTTCTCTTGCTCCTCCTCGTCGTCACCAGCGTGAACGATCTAGAGGACGAGCTCTAGTAA